TGCCCTTCAACAGATGAATGGATAAAGAAAATGTGGTACATATACAGAAGGGATTATTACTCAGCCTTAAAAAATGAAATTATGGCCTTTGCTGGTAAACGGATGGAACTAGAGAACATCATGCTAAGTGAAATAAGCCAGTTCCCAAAAACCAAAGGCCAAATGTTTTCTCTGATAAGTGGATGTTGATCCATAGTGTGTGTGGGGGGGGTGGGGTGGGGGGAGTAGGGAAGAATAAAGGAAATTTGAATTGTGCTGAGGGGGGTGAGGGGAGGGGAAAGATGTGAGGATGGGAAGGACATAGAATGAGACAGACATTACTACCCTATATATGTATGATTACACTCCTGGTGTGACTTGGCACCATGTACAGCCAGAGGAAGGAGCAGTTGTACTCCATTTGTGTACAAGGTGTCAAAAAGCATTCTGCTGTCATGTATAACAAATTAGAACAATTTCATTTAAAAATAGAAGGGAAGTCAGTAGAATAGGAGAAGAGGATCAGAGGGAGGGTAGAAAGGAGAAGCAGAGGTACTGGGGAATTGGATTGTTCAGAATATACTGTTTTATTGTGTGCACATATAAATATAACAAATCCCACTGTTATATATAAGTATAATGTGCCAATAAAAAGAAAAAAAATTAAAGAGAATTACAGGATTATGTGATCCTCATTTCATAGAAATAGAGAGGAGTGAAGTGCTTCGCCCTGACTGTGGGGCTTACATAGTTTGGGGCTTGCACGGCCTCTCGGGTCACTCTCCCTGGAGCTGGCTGTTTTCTCATTTTGACCAATATAATAAAACTAATCAGGTTACCAGGTATCTAACCACAGATAGGGACAACAAAACTCAGGGAAATACCCTGAAAGTGAAAATTCCAGAACCAAAATCCAAAGCACAGTCATATTTTGGCACATAGTGGGCACTCAAGTGAACTTTATAGAACTTTAGCATATGTTCCAGGTCATGAAATTCCCTACCTTATGCCATATTTCTATTATCACATTATAAAAAAGACAAATCTCTTAGTGAAAGTGCCACAATGTGTTTCTATAGAAGATGTGGGTTTTTCTATAGCCATTACTATAGACTCTGTAGTCCATCGACTTTTTCTGTTTAGCTATGTCTGAACCAACTTGCTGCCACAGAATGTACATTATATAAAGCTGTCTTTGTTTTAAAACCTATGTATCTAAGAATAAAGGAAAATACATAAAAAATTGTTTGATATAAATTAGTGATAAGAACGACGGAAATTTTAAAGAATTTCTTCAATTTAGTAATCATGTATTGAGTACCTACAATATTCATATGAAGATATGCAATGCTCGGGAAAGACCAAATGCAAAGAAGCCTGTTCCCACAAAGAGCTAACAGTTTGTCTCATATTTTTTTAAATTTTATTTTATTGGTTCTTCATAGTTACACATGATAGTAGAATCTATTTTTGGTAAAAGTATATAAGCATAGGATATATCTCATTCTAATTAATACCCCATTCTTGTGGATGGACATCATGATAGGGTTAACTTAGGTTCTATCATGTATGTACATAGGAAAATTATATGATTGATTCCACTGTCTATTCATATCCCCCCTCCCTTCTTTTAGTTCCCCTTTGTCTAGTCTACTGAATTCTTCTCCTCTTCTTCTCTTCCACTTTATGGTGGTTAGCTTCCACATATCAGCAAAAACATTTGACCTTTGATTTTGGGGAGATTGGCTTATTTCACTTAGCATGATATTCTCCAGATCTATCTATTTACTGGCAAATGTCATAAATCATTCTTCTTTATGGTGTAGTAATATTCCATTGTTTATATATCCCACACTTTATTTATCCACTCATTTATTGATGGACATCTAGATTGGTTCCATAGTTTTGCTATTGTGAATTGTGCTGCTATAAATATTGATATGACTGTGTCACTGTAGTATGCTGATTTTAAATCCTTGAGATACATGCCAAGGAGTGAGATAACTGGGTCAAAAGGTCATTCCATTTTTAGTTTTTTGAGGAATCTCCATAATGCTTTCCATAATAGTTGCACCAATTTGCAGTCAGTCCTAGCAACAATGTATGAGCATTCCCTTTTCCCTATATCCTTAGCAACATTTACTGTTACTTGTATTCTTGACAGTTGCCATTCTGACTAAAGTGAGGTGATATCTCACTGTAGTTTTCATTTTCATTTCTCTAATTGTTAGAGATGAACATTTTAAAATGTATTTGTTAATCATATTTCTTCTTTTTTGCCCATTTATTGTTTGGGTTATTTGTTGCAGTTGTTGTTGTTTGGGTTTGGTGTTAGATTATAAAAACCTTGAAAAATCTTATCTGAGGTGGCAAAGATTTTCTCTCATTCTGTATGTTTTCTCTTCACCCTCTTGATTGTTTCTTTTGCTGTGAAGAAGCTTTTAGGATTGATGCCCTCTCATTGATGTTTAAAATTTTTATTTTGCTGTAGGAATCTTGTTCAGGAAGTCATTTCTTATGCTAATATGTTGAAGTATTGGGCCTACTTTTTCTTCTAGGTAACAAATTTCTGGACTAATTCCTAGGTTTTTGATCCATTTAAGTTGATTTTTGTTCAGGGTGAGAGATGGGATTAACTTTTATTCTATGGATTTCATTATGGATCTCCAGTTTTCCCAGCTCCATTTTCCCCCCAGCATCATTGTTTAAAGAGGCTATCATTTCCCCAGAGTGTGTTTTTGGTGCCTTTCTCCAGTGTGAGATAACTGTATTTATGTGGGTTTGTCTTTTTGTCTTCTATTCTGTTCCATTGGTCTTCTTGCCTATTTTGGTGCCAATCCATACTGTTTTTTTTTTTTTTTTTGGTTTTTTACTATAGCTCTGCAGTATAATTTAAGTCTGGTATTGTGATGCCTTCTGCTTTGTATTTCTAGTTAAGGATTGCTTTAGCTATTCTGGACTTATTATTTTTCCAAATGAATTTCATGACTTCTTTTTCTATTTCTATGAAGCATGTCATTGGAATTTTGAGGGGTATTGTCTTGCAACTGTATAGCACTTTTGGTAGGATGGCCATTTTGACAATATTGATTCTGCCTATCCAAGACCATGGGAGGTTTTTCTATCTTCTAAGGTCTTCCTGAATTTCTTTTGTTACTATTTTGTAGTTTTCATTGTAGGGGTCTTTTAACTCTACTGATAGACTTATTCCTAAGTATTTTTTTTGAAGGCTATTGTGAATGGGATGGTTTTCCTTATTTCTCTTTTTAGCTGTTTCATTATTGGAGTATAGAAACACAATTGATTTATCGATGTTAATTTTTTATCCTGCTATTTTTCTGAATTCATTTGAGTTCTAGAAGTTTACTCGAGTTTTTTTTTTTTTTGTGTGTGTGTGTGTGGGGGTGTTGTAGAATCATGTCATCAGCAGACAGTTTGAGCTCTTCTTTCCCTATTTATACCTTTAATTTCTTTCTTTTGTCTAAATGATCTAGCAAGAGTTTCAAGAACTATGCTGAATAGAAGTGGAGTTTATGTCATTTTAAAGTAAATATTGCCAGAACATACTATTTCAAGGAACTAGTCTATCACATTTTTTTTTCTACAAAGAAAAATTAAGAGTAATAACAGTAAAGGAAATACTCTTACTTCCTACTATTGTCTTAACATGTGTATCTTGTAATTGTTTTAATACAAAAATTTCTAAATTATGCCACTCTTATAAAAATTATGATGGGAAGGATGGTGGCTGCCTTGGAAAAGAGAGGGTGTGTATGTGTATATCAACATTAAAGAGGTCACTATGTCACACATGATCCTATAACTGAGTAATTGAGTTAACTTTTTGTTGCTATGATCAAAATCCCCAACAAGAACAACTTAGAGAAGGCAAAGCTTTAGGACTCATGGTATCAGAGGCCTCAGTCCATAAATGGCTGATTCCATTGCTCTGAACCTAAGGTGAGGCAGACTGTCTTGGTGGAAGGACTCGGCAGAGGGAAGCTGCTCAGCTCATTACAGGGTCAGGAAGAAAAGAGAGGATTGGGAATGGGCCACAGGGAAGATGCATGCTTCAGGGCTCGTCCCCAGTGAGCCCCCTCCTTTAGCCATGCTCCACCTGCCTACAGTTACCATTCAGTCAGTCCATTCAAACTAAGAAGGACTGACTAGGTTACAGTTCTCACAATCCAGTCAGTTCACCTCTGAATACTCCTGCATTAACACAGGAGCGTTGGCCTGGGGGCACCTCATATCCACACTATAATTCTAGGATATGAAGAATTTCTACCCAGCACAAAATAGACTCCACGATGACAATAATAATCTTACCGATGTATCTAGTTCAAGTTTTCAAAACTGGTGTTTATTGGATGTTAATAAATGATCTCTGAAGAAAGTTTAATTTGGTTTTAGAAATGCTGAGTTAGACAAGGTCAAATCAGTTTCTTTGGTGCAGGACTTCTCAGAAGCCTTATTGAGCTAGTATGCATTGTGAAATTCCAAGAAAGTAATTCAGCAGGCAGCATTTCGCAAAATTACTAGAATATGTAACTTTTTCCCACAGACTTGCTATTAAGTCTTCCTCAGAAGAGAATCTTAGAAATGCTGACATGGAAAAACGGACAGTTGAGGCCACTGATGAGTTTCTTGGACCAGAATCATTCTCAGTGGACCATACTGTCTTCAGCAGGTCAATAGGTATACTCTATTACTGTTTTGGATCATGGTTAGAATAGCACTGTGTTTCTCTTTTTTTTTTTTGCTTTTGTTAAAATATGCTTACCAGAAATTATAAAAAAATTTACATTGGGGACTTTTTACATATACTGTATTGTCATCAAGTTTTCCCAAATTGCTACCACATCTTTTTTCACTCCAAAGTTAAATTAGAAACAGATTTCAATATTTTTAACACTGTGCCATAAATCACTCTAACACCTACTTGGGTGTTGTAGACACAGAAGGTCCTCAAATAAAATCTATTTGATGACAATGATTTATGATCCTTAAATACTTTTCAGATGGACTACAAGCTAACCTCTGAGTCAGAGCCTGCCTGTCCTGATGTACTCACCTGGATCCAGGTTTGTTTGCATTGAAATTATTTCCCAGAAATATTATCAAATCAAAGAGCAGATAACATGCCCTTTTGAAATCATCAGATATAAGACTGGTGCTTTATGTGGAAGACAGAGCTTTTTTTAAGTAACCATTCATATTTTATAACGTGAACCATTTCCTTGCAGTTTGGAAAATGAGTTATATTGGAAGAATTGTGGCTTCTAGGTAGTAATAAATATGAATGTTTTATATGGCATTTTCTATTGTTTCAGAACTTAGCAATATACTTTTAAATTTTTTCTCTAATATGATGTACAAACTTTTATTGTGATTCTTACTCTCTGTCACAATTTAGGAAATAAACATTAATTAGATAAAAGGCAATATAGAATGAAAATATACAAGGAATTTTTAATGAAGTGTATTTTATTATCTTTTTAATATGTGCATTAAGTGCTCATGGTGCCAGGTACTATATTGGGCACTGCAGAAAGAGATATGGCAGATACATGCTCCATGTCCTCAAAAGGCCATCAGGATAGTTTTTCTCTTATGTGTAGCCAGAAAGCAGCAAGTCTGCTTTTCATATACCACATGAAATTTGTCATCTTTGTTTTACAGCTTCAGGATGAGGGTAAACATTTTTCTCTGAAAATAATTTTTGCATTTAAAATGGAGGTGAAACTGGTGAAGAAATGGGGTTGTCCTTTTTTGATTGAGTTACTTCAGGTCCCATATTAACTGCTCCAGTTTGAGTTGGGTTAAATTGTAAAGTTTGATTGTAAAAATACCTTAGGTAAATATCGTAAAATCTAATGTAGAAAAGTATCTTAGAAGAGAGTATATACACAAATGTTGCATTGTAGATCAAGTTTTTTCCTCATCCACTAATTTTCAATATGTTTCCAATAGTACCATTACGAATGGTCTCGGAGTATTATGTGCGGCTTAAAGGCCATTCCTTTTTCTGCAGGTTGACGAGCACCATTTTTTTCAGGGTACATTTGAGCCTCAAAGTATGCCATTAAATTGAACTTACATTATTAAATTGCATTACAATGTAATGCATACCAGCCTAAATTATTATTGATATTGAATCTATATAAGAAAAGATTCACAAACAATACATAACATGGAACATAAGTAGTGGCAGGCTAGGCTGGGGGGATACCTGACTCTATTTCTGATACTTTGGGTAACTGTAGCCTTGGGAAAGTGCCAGGACTTTTTTTTTTTTCCTTCATCTTGTTTTCCCCTTCTAAATAAAAAAGAGTTTGGCTTAGAAATGATCTTCTTTTTCATTACTAAAATGTAATGAGTCTCTTTCCAACTATAAACCAGAAACTCTCCTCAAAGTAAAAGATCACCAATGTATTAAAGTTAAGACATTTGTATTTGGTTATATGTAAAAGCTATGTGAGATGAATTCTAAATGATGAAGCTAAAACATTCCTTCACATACCTCACTCATGTGGGCCCAAAATAAGTTACCAAAATATCTCCCCCAAAATGGATCAATGCCATCCAGAACATTAAACCCGGGAGAGCCTTATTCAAAGGAGAAAACCCTTCTTCCTTTGGTAGGAATGTTAAGAAGGTCTCTAGGGAGGAAGGAGTTTGGTTTATGTTAAGATCCAAATGGACCCTTTTTATGTCTGTTCTAATACACAAGCTTTGAGGAGGAAGGGGAAGAGCTGGTTTTTTGTTTTTTGTTTGTTTGTTTTTGTTTTCCTGTGTTAAAACTCTACTGCAGGGATGGGGTTGTGACTCGGTGATAGAGTGCTTGCCTAGCATGCATGAGGCACTGGGTTTGATCCCCCACACCACATAAAAATAAACAAATAAAATAAAGGCATTGTGTCCATCTACAACTATAAATAAATAAATAAATAAATAGATAGTAGATAGATAAAAAAAATTAATAAATAAATAAAACTCTACTGCAAAAACCCAATAGTTGGCATACACTTGACTGAAAGAAAATAGACACACAGGTACAACAAACTTTACCAAATGACTTTATTCCAAACAAAGTATGTAATTAAAATTTAAAATGTATCATTTTATAATCACTTAACTCATTAAGAAAACTTTCAAAATCTTAAATTGTTACTTATATATTTAAGGAATATATGCACTTAATTTTCTTTAAAATAACTATGTTGAATCTATCAATATCATGTGTCTTATGCTATTTAAATGGCAGGACGACTTCTAACAAAACAAAAAAAGAAAACAGGATTTTTGATTAGCATTTTCTAGCAATAAAATCTATAAGTAATAGCAATGGTGATAATACCAAGCTATGATCTTTTATATATTATTTTGTTTGAATTTATATCAATATTTCTCTATAGTAAATTATAAACCTTCCTCTTGACATATCAGTTTAAAATAAAATTTATATTTATCCTTACATAATGATCCTTAAACACATTTTAGATGAGTACAAACAAGCAAAGTGTTTTTATAGCACTTGAAATATATTCATGATCTGATTTCACTGTCCTAGTTGGAAATAAAATTAAACTGGTATTACAAAGTATTTTTACTATGACTAAATCATTTCGATAACAACTCACCTTCCTTGTAAAGGAACATATACAAGAATCTGATTAAAACCAGTTTAAAATGGTATACCTTCATAAATTATGATGAGTTAAAACATTGGATCAAGTATATTATTGAGACTAAATTATGCTAAATAGCACATGCTATAATCTATAAATAATATATAAAACTAAATCTCTGTTCAAAATAAAATGGGAGATTGTCTAGATAATTTAAACATTCTCTTCTGCATTATTTAGTTAGTTCAAAGTAGGGTTCAGGTCGATGAGACTTGATACACAAATCATTGTCTGAGTCTCTTGGCTGGTTTGACTAAGATGACAAGAGTTTTACCTAGAAAATTACTCATGAATATCATGGTCATGTCTAATCAATTTTCTTTCCAAATTATTTCTCAGTATTGTAAATATCTTTCTTCATAAGAAATGTCAAGTGTAGCACTGAGCTACATTTGTCTACAGCTTGCAGCCACACTATATCAAATTTTTAAAATCTCTTTTATAGCTATGAAATTAAACCTGTTTCCTCCTTAAACTTCATTTCTGGGCTAATTTTCTTTATGAATACATCTAAACTCTTTAATCTGTGAATTAGCTAATTTAATAATCTATCATTTTGTGGGCTACAAATAATAAATACACTAATGTAATTCCTTATTTTCTGTTATGTCATTGTAGAAGTCCCAAAGAATATTAAATATTTAACTCATATTTCCCCAAATCATTTTTAATCACTTTTTACTTGTCAAAACATTTTTTAAACTTAAATTTAGCTCTTAAATGTGCTTGAACAACCAATCAACCTACAGGTCAACAAAGGAAAAAATTTATTAAGGATGTGCTTGACAAAGCAACATGGTAGACCCAAGTTAATCACAGCCTTTTGTTTCAGAGCACCATGACATTTCTTAATCATCGTGGCAATTTTTACAAAACATATGACTTGACCCCCAAATATCCCATGGATTATTGTGAATTTTTTAAGAGCATCAAAGATAATTCAGATGAGAGATAAATTATTAGTAGCTACAATTTAGGCTTATGAGTTTTACCAGAAGTCATTCATTGGTAACTCATCAGATTATTTTAATGAGAATATTCCTTATTAAAAAGCAATTACAAACATTTACAAATGATAATAATATTTTTTAAAAGGTAGAACCAAGATTGGTGCCAGCTGCAACAAATTTGGTTTTTGTTTTTTTGTTTTTGCGGTGCTGAGGATGGAACCCAGGGCCTTGTGCATGTGACACAAGCACTCTACCAACTGAGCTATAGCAACAGCCCAGGTAGTCATTTTTAATTGGCAAGATTGTTTCTCCATCTTTCCTCTGTTTTTGATATCTTTAATATGATGTGCTCTACTTTTCAATTCAAATTACCAGTCAGAGATTCAACAGTAGAACAACTCTAGATTGTAAAGATACCATAGCTTAATATAGTTTTTCTTCCTCCTACCAAAAAAAAAAAAAAAGTCAGGAGGAACTAAGTTGTTCTGTAAACTCTAAAGTGCTATGTCCATGTGAGGTATTATTATGCAAGCCAATCAAATTGTTAAGTTTCATAGATGTATCCTCAATGTCAACATTCTACCTTTCCCACTAACTTTGTTTTCCAAGAGGGCATTCGACCTCAGTTATCCAAATCATTATCAATTATCTATGAAAATAAATATTGCTTTATGGAAATTGGAGTGTCTTAAAGCAAAAATGTGAACTAGAAGATAAACTGAGTATTATTTTTCTGTCCTTGTTTTTCATGGGTAATTGTATATGTGGAGGTATGGTAAATGTTATTATATTGGTAGTTTTTAGCTTGAAGGAGAACTAGAATAGATTGGACAAGATATGCAAATTCTTGTTAAATGGAAATAGTTCATGTGCAAAATTGTATACAGGCAGAAAAGTGGGGAGAAAAGGGAAAAGGAACAAATGCCTTTGAAAAAGACTTTGCAAATCTAATCCCATAGTCCACCAGGACTGTGAATTGTTCTAACTAGAAATAAATGAAGAGATTACTGTATTTCATTTGTGTTTGTGGGTTTGTTTTTTAAAAATAGAAATAGCTAACATTTAACCTGGACCTTAATATTTTCTTTTGGAAAGAAACTACTTCATGCTCACACACAGGTGTAAAGAACACCAGTCTTTTTGTATCCTTTGTTCTGAATGCATTTATCGCTAAAATTGTTCAACTCTGAAAAGCCTTGGGGTTCCAGTTGGCCATTATTGTATGAGTACTGTTTTTGCTATTCACAATAGACAGTATTTTTTTTATTGCCTAGATGTAATATCTTTTCTGTATAAGTAACTTTACAATAAAGGCAGCTAAGCTTACTGTCTAGTCCAGAAATTTTTCTTCACTCCAACAAAAATATTACTTTAACTTACAATGGTAAAGCTTCCAGAAATTTCTAACTTATAACTACACCATCCAAATACTTTCCATTTCTA